AAATTGGGCATCCCTGCCTGATGCCCATTTGGACAGGGATGGGACAACTCAAACCACCCCCCCACCTTCACCATACACGAGGCCCCAGCATACAGTAAATTCATCCAAGACAAAAAAACATCCCCAAACCCAAAGGCTTTAATTGTTTTAAACAAGTACTGGTGGTCCACACGATCAAAAGTCCTCTCCTGATCCAAAGAAAGTAAACCCACATTTACATCAGACAGTTTACAAATGTCCAAAACATCTCTTATTAGAAACAAGTTGTCAACAATAGAGCGATCAGGTACACAGTAGGACTGGTCCCTTGTGGACCAACAATCCCAGATACTCTTTCAACCTGTTTGAGAGACATTTAGAAACATTTTATATTCTGCACACAGCAAAGCAACAGGTCTCCAATTTTTTATGATAGCCAATCCCCCTTTTTTGGCAACAGTGAAAGTACCGCACGTTGACAAGATACAGGAAGAGAGCCCTCATGAAAAGATTCACACACCACTTCATAAAAATCCTCCCCAATAGACCCCCAAAAGTGCTTATAAAACTCAGATGGTAAACCATCAATGCCAGGGGCTCGGCCTGTTGAGAGCTGCATAACTGCTGTGGACAGCTCTTGCAGTGTAATGTCAGAGTCCAATGCGACTCTTTGCTCAGTCCCAATTGAGGAAGACCGTGTAACAACTGTTCAGTACACAGAGAGTCACAATCTCCGCCTTATAGAGGGCAGAATAGAAATCCACGGCATGTTGACGCATTTCACTGTCATCCGTGGTCACCTTCCCATCAGGGAGACGAAGGCAGACCATCTGTTTACGTTGCAATGTCGACTGTCCTAGGTTAAAAAAAAGAAGCACTAGGAGCATCCATATCCTTGAGGGAAGCGAAACGAGACCTAATCAAGGCACCCTTCACTCTTTCATGCAGAAACGACCTCAATTCATGTTTCTTGTCCTGTAAGTTCATGACTAGTCCGGGGTCATTCTGAGTGAGCAACTTCAATTCAATAGATTTAATGTTCTGTTCAAGGGCCCTGATAGTCTCTTTAACTTCAATTCGAGACAGAGCAGTATACTGTTGACAAATAATTGTATTTGGGCCTTCCCAACCTCCCACCATTGTCTCAAGGACTCAAAATTCCCTTTTGTAACCCTCCATTTTCCCAAAACAACAAAAACCTTTCCCAAAACATGACATCATGTAAACAATTTAACATTAAAATACCAATAAGATGATGACCTTCGTGGACAGGACAAGTGAATATCAACAGTGACAATTGGTGATCAGAGAAACCCACAGGGAGTAATGTCACACCTTCCAACCCTACTACAGTATTGCTCAGATACATACAACCTGTCTAACCTTGCTGCACTGACATGACCTTCATTAACTTTTAGCCATGTGTACTGCCTACTTTTGCATTCCTTACTCTCCACACATCAGAAAGCTCAAACTCAGTTAATAGACCAGACAGACAAATTGCTGACCGCAGGTGAGGTTTCTTCAGCGGTGCGATCAACAGTAAATCCACTGTACAGTTCCAGTCCCCCCCTAAAACCATACACCCCTCTTGGTCACACTGTCTTAAGGTTTCCTTTATTTTATCAAAACCAACAATACGCTCTGTACCCTCATTAGGAGCATAAACATTCAAAAAAACAAACAAAAACCCCATAACATCCACCTTGACCAATAAACCCGACCCTTGACAATCTCTGTTGTAGATACCACAGTCCACCCCTAAGCCTGAAGAAAACAAGATTGCCACCCCAGCACTGAAATTAGTACCATGACTGAGTATATGCTGCCCCTCCCACCACATACCCCAGTCAGCCGCATTTTCCCTCATCACTATGCGTCTCCTGTAGGAAAACTACATTAAGCCTTTTCTGTTTTATTACTTCTAATACCCAAGCCCTCTTATTCCTGTCCCTTCCTCCATTAATATTGAGAGAACCTACCCTTAGTACCTCCATATAGAAAAGAAAAAGGAAAAGCAGAAGATACCACAGAGAAACCAGACAAAGAGAATAGAAACACCCTATGAGGCATAATCATCATAATTATTTAATTTTCTCTTAACCTGACCACGTTTCCCACCACCTTTTGCTGCTGCAACAGCAGTAACAAATTTCCCTCAAGCGAAACCGCTTCTTCTCACTCAACTGGTCTAACCCCACCGTCTTCTGTACCATCACAGCTGACCTCACAAAACTTACCAACATCAAAATAATCTGCCAATTTGACAGATTCCCCAAAAGTCTGATCCAGAAACCCATTTAACCTCCTCTAGATCGTAAATTGAGTCCTCACCAGCTGATATCGTATCAATGAGAGATATCCATATCCTTCTCCTGATCCTCCTCAACTGAGGCCACAGACCACTGACTCCCCTCTACCACATCCCTTTCCATCAACACTCCCCCACTTGCACCCCATCACTCGTACCAGGCATCTCCTCCACTACCTGGGAGACTAGCCCCACCTGAACCCCATTACTCGTAGTGGGCATCTCCTCCACTACCTGGGAGACTAGCCCCACCTGAACCCCATTACTCGTAGTGGGCATCTCCTCCACTACCTGGGAGACTAGCCCCACCTGAACCCCATTACTCGTAGTGGGCATCTCCTCCACTACCTGGGAGACTAGCCCCCCCTGTAACCCAGCACTCATAGTGGGGCATCTCCTCCACTACCTGGGAGACTAGCCCCCCCTGTACCCCAGCACTCATGGTGGGCATCTCCTCCACTACCTGGGAGATGAGCTCCACATGAACCCTCTCCTGTAACCCATTACTTGTAGTGGGCATCTCCTCCACTACCTGGGAGATTAGCTCCACATGTACCCCCTCCTGTACCACAGCACTCGTACTGGGCACCTCCTCACCAGTCTGAGGAAATGGCCCTTCAGATCCATCCTTACCTTCTACAAACAAAAAATTTCCGCTGCATAACATTTCCCTCTGGTAAGTTGCACCTCTGTGCCCTCAACACGGACAACTTGTTCCTCAGCAACAGATGCGTGTGGCTGCTCTACCACTGGTCAGCCCACCTCTTCCTACATCAGTGGGCCCAGGCGTTACTAGGACCACCTGCGCCCCTCCCTCTGCCTTCTCCCTTTCGGGCAAGCATGTCGCTTATGACCAACATCCCCACACTCAAAAACAACCGTTGACTACCTGTACTAGCATACTCCATATACAATCTATTGTCATACTTGACTTAAACGATAACTCCAAAGTCTGCTCCGGTGAGTCCAAAAACATAAACACCTGTCGCCGAACGACATTACCTGTTTCAAACGCCGGGTGTTTGCAACCCAATGGGAACACCTTAATTGAACTTGCAAACTTCCCAAAGCGCAATAACTCGCGCTCCAATAGCTCATTTGGAATGAACGGCGGTACATTTGAAATCGTTACCCCTTGTTGACGAGAAAAAAGCGGCGTAACTTGAATAAACATTCCTTTAAGAAGTATGCCATGCTCAACCATACGATCAACAAGGCGCTCTTCTTTAGAAATACCACCACCCGCTTTATTCATCCGTGACGCATAAGCAACATTCTCATATCCTACCTTCTCTCCTACGGCGACCAGAACCTCTTCCCACCGTGACAGTAGCTTCAGTAACACACCTAAAGCCGTGCCGAAGTGACAGGGACGGCGTCCCGATTCGGGCCGCCATCCCCACCAAAATCAGGGTAACTTCGACACGAAAAACAATATACTTATTCTACCACAACAAAAAAATAGAAATAATAACCTTAATCATGCATAGAAGAAAAAAGGATATCACCAAGAAAAGGAAAACCCAGGATATCTAACTCTACACAACACTCGCACTAGCACTCACTCAAACAATTCCCAGCACGCACCAAACACTCCCCAGCATCAGATAAGAGAGAGAGAGTAGAGAGAGAGACACCGCGCACGCAATCCAACCACACCCGAGAGATAGAGATATATACACATAAACTCGCACCCACATGGCTACAAGATATATAGAGACCTCGAACAACACACACCATAGATAATATAATACAAAACCGCACAAAACACCCACACACTATTAATAATATAGAGACACCTCACACACATCACACATGATAGATATATACACGCTTCACACACACACACATATGAAATATATTACACTCTCACACACACACAGAGATATATAGATTATACCGCGCTACACACACATATCGATATGATACTTTTTTAAAAACCCCCGTTTATTAACCGTGCTAAAACTTCTTTTCTACCCCTTCACGGCGCCCAAACCTCTTAAGGCCCGGCCCTTTACATTTAAACGTTCCGGACGGGAGGGAGGGGGCCCGCCACAAAAAATTTCCTTTAAGAAGACCATCTAACCTCCCACAAAAAAAAATAGAAATACACCAACTTTTTAAGGGTACCAAAGAAAAAAACCCAACTATTTCTCTCCAACCCCAAACCCTCCCCACAGTAGCCAAACCACCCCAAAGCCGGGGAAGAGGGAGGCGGAGGGGACGCCCCAACAGAGAAAAGAAAAAGAGAAAAAAAAGGAAAAAAAGAGGAAAGAAAGGAAAAGGAGAAAGAATGAAAGAAAAAGAAGGGGAATAAGAAGGAAACCAGAGAAAAAGGAGAGGAAGAGAAAAGGGGAGAGAGAGAGAGGAGAGAGAGAGAGAAGGGACGGAGCAGGGAAGAGGAGAGAGAGAGGAGAGAGGGAGGAGGAGAGAGAGAGGAGGGAGGGGAAGGAGAGAGAAGGGAGAGAGAGAGGGGAGAGGGGAGAGGAGAAGAAGAAGAGACAGAGAACAGAGAGAGAGAGAGGAGAGAGAGGGGAGGGGGAAAAAACAGGCCAGGGAAAAGGAAAAGTTTTTCTCTCCCTCCCTAGTTTCACCTTTTGGTCTTATCTGTAGATCGACTGGACCAGGGTAGCTTACCAGAGATAGAGGCAGTAGTCAGTGCTGATGATTCTGAGGGCAGGTGTGTAGGGGTTAGAGTTAGGGGTTAGAGTTATGGGTCAGGGTTAGAGTTAGGGGTCTCACCAGTATAGTCGGTTATCCTCAGGCCAGGCATATACGCCACACTAGGCTGCATGTGGGGTCCCTTGTCCCTCTGTCTCTGTCGGTACCAGATAAACAGGCTGAGCATAGCCATCATGATGAGGAGGAGGAGGAAGATGATGCCCATCACAGCCCCAGCTGACTGGTGCTCTGAACCTCCCCGCGCTGGACAGATCTTAGTGTACGGGTTCAACTCCTCCATCACCAGAGCAGCTGGGGAGAGGAACACACACACAGGGAGAGGAACACACACACAGGGGGGAGGAAACAACAGGGGGAGAACACACCGGGGGAGACCACACAGGGAGAGGAACACACACAGGGGAGAACACACACAGGGGAGAGGGAAAACACAGGGAGAGGAACACACACAGGGAGAGGAACACACACAGGGAGGATACACACAGGGGAGAGGAACACACACAGGGGAGAGGAACACACAGGGGAGAGGAATACACACAGGGAGGAAACAAGGGAGAGAACACACACAGGGGAAGAACACAACAGGAGGGAGAGGAACAACACGGGAGAGGAACACACAGGGAGGAATACACACAGGGAGAGGAATACACACAGGGAAGGAAACCACAGGGGAGGAACACACAGGGGAGAGGAATACACACAGGGGAATGTACACCACACAGGGGAGAGGAACACCAGGGGGGGAGGAAATCAAAACACAGGGAGAGGAATACACACAGGGGGAGGAACATACACAGGGGAGAGGAATCAACACAGGGAGAGGAAACACACACAGGAGGGGAAACACACACACCAAAGGGAGAGGAACACACACACAGGGAGAGGAACCACACACAGTGGAGATGATACACAGGGGAGAGGAAAAAGGGGAATACACACACACAGGGAGAGGGAACACACAGGGAGAGGGACACACAGGGAGAGGAACACACAGGGGAGAGGAATACACACACATGGAGAGGAAACACACACAACAGGGGAGAGGAACACATGGGAGAGGAACACACACACAGGGGAGAGAACACACAGGGAGAGGGACACACACACAGGGAGAGGAACACACAGGGAGAGGGACACACAGGGAGAGGAACACACAGGGGAGAGGAATACACACACATGGGAGAGGAACACACAGGGGAGAGGAATACACACACATGGGAGAGGAACACACAGGGGAGAGGAATACACACACATGGGAGAGGAACACACACACAGGGAGAGGAACACACACAGGGAGAGGAACACACAGGGGAGAGGAATACCCACACAGGGGAGAGGAACACACAGGGAGAGGAACACACACACCTTGGAAGAGGAAAAACACAAGGGGAGAGGTACCCCACACAGGGAGGGGAACAGACACACAGGGAGAGGAACACACACAGGGGAGAGGAAACCCACAGGGGGAGAGGAATACACACACAGGGAGGGGGAACCCACAGGGAGAAACAGACACACAGGAGAGGAACACACCACAGGGGAGAGAAACAGACACACAGGGAGAGGAACACACACACAGGGAAGGAAACACAAAACACACACACACACACAGGGAGAGGAACACACACACAGGGAGAGGAACACACCACAGTGGAGAGGAAACACCACACAAGGGAGAGGGGACACCACGGGGAGAGGAACACCCACGGGGGAGAGGACACACACACAGGGAGAGGAAACACACAGGTGAGAGGAACACCCCAGGGGAGGGAACCACACGGGGGAAGGACACCAAGGGAGAGGGACACCCACAGGGGAGAGGAACACACACAGGGATGGAACACCCCAGGGAGAGGGAACCCCAATGGGAGAGGACACACAAGGAGAGGAACCCCAGGGGAAGGACACCCCGGGGAGAGGAACCCACACAGGAGGGGAAACCCCACAGGGGAGGGAAACCCAAGGGGAGGAAACACAGGGAGAGGCACACACAGGGAGAGAAAACACACCACACCAACAGAGAGGACACACACAGGTAGGGAACACCCACAGGGGAGAGGAACACCCACAGGGGAGAGGAACACACACAGGGAGAGGAACACACAGGGAGAGGAAAAACCACACAGGGAAAGGAACACACACCCAGGGAGAGGAACACACAAGGGAGAGGGACACACGGGGTGAGAGGAAACACCAACAGGGGAGAGGAACAACACACGGGGAGAGGAACACCACAGGGGAAGGAACACACACAGGGGAGAGGAACACACACAGGGGAGAGGAACACAGGGGAGAGGCACACAACACACAGGGAGAGGTACAAAACACACACGGGAGAGGAACACACACACAGGGAGAGGAACACACACACAGGGGAGAGGAACACACACAGGGAGAGGAACACACACACAGGGAGAGGTACACACACACAGGGAGAGGAACACACACAGGGAGAGGAACACACACACAGGGAGAGGTACACACACACAGGGAGAGGTACACACACACAGGGGAGAGGAACACCCACAGGGGAGAGGAACACACACACAGGGGAGAGGAACACACCCCACAGGGGAGAGGAACACACACAGGGGAGAGGAACACACACAGGGGAGAGGAACACACACACAGGGAGAGGAACACACCACACAGGGGAGAGGAACACACACAGGGAAAAGGAACACACAAAAGGGGAGAGGAACACACACACAGGGGAGGGGAAAACACACACAAGGAGAGGAACACACAAAAGGGGGAGAGAACACCCCACAAAGGGAGAGGTACACACACACAGGGGGGGAGGAACACACACAGGGAGAGGAACACACACAAGGGAGAGGAACACACACACAGGGGAGAGGAACACACACAAGGGAGAGGAACACACCACAGGGAGAGGAACACACACAAGGGAGAGGAACAACACACAAGGGAGAGGAACACACACACACAGGGAGAGGATCACACACAAGGGAGAGGTTGAGTGTATGCTACTATTTTGTGTGTGTGTGTGTGTGTGTGTGTGTGTGTTTGTGTGTGTGTGTGATGAGAGAAACATTGCGATCAACTTTGAAAGAGACAGACAGATAGAAAGACTACCCAGCAAATCAACATTGGTTATGTGAAGGTTCCCAGAACATTTGTTAGGTCGCAGCAAATGTTCTCATAACACAGAAGCTGTCCAGTCGTGGTGATGATTGTAGATTGTTTCTATAAAACATTCGCCTGATGTTCCAAAACACAAAAAACTGGCCAGTTGTCCGGATGATTCAACAATGTTTCTTTTAGGGTGCAAAAAGAAAAAAAAAACATTCACCTGACGTTACAAGAAAGTTCCCAGAACACATTTTGTCTGTTCTTTAAAAGGTTCCCAGAATGTTTCATTAGGTTGTGGGAACAGTCTGGTGGGAACATTCTGGGGACATCACAAAAGATGTTCCCAAAACACAAAAACTGTCCAGTTGTAAAAAAAAAAATGCTATGAACGTCATAAAAACTGACTTATTTCATTCTTACAACATTAAGGGAATGTCCTGTGCAACTTAACTTAAAGATTGCATGAATGTCATCACAACTGAGCATATTTTGTGTTTTGGGAACCTATTTCTTGTAATGTACCCACACTGTTCCCACAACCTAATTACATGTTCTGGGAACCTTTAAAGAACTCAGAAAAACTGTTTTGTCATCATTCTTGCACCCTGATACAAACAGTTATCTGAATGTCAGCACAACTGGACAGTTTTTGTATTTTGGGAACATATCTCTTGTCATGTCATGTTTTACCACAACCTAATGAAACATTCTGGGAACCTTTAAAGGACAAACAAATTTGTTCTGGGAACGTTCTTGTAACATCAGGTGAACCTCTGGCAAGATGGCGTTGAAGAACCTGGTAGCCTTTCCTCGAGCTCCTACAAAACTTTGCAGGTTTGTACTTTTTCTTTGACCTGCACTGTGGGAGCTTAGCGCATCAGAATTCCACATTTACATCACATCGCCGACCCTGTGCATGTGACTAATAAAACTCATCTGAAATGTTTTTTTTTTCTTCCAATAAATATATTTGATCAAAAACATTCTCTGAATGTTTTTGGGATGTTATCATCCTAATTTTTAGATAAAAACCCTAATTAGAACTTAATGGGAATCTTAGCTAATGTTCTGGGAATGTTCCCAGTTTGCTGAGTAGTACGTCCATTCTCCTCACCCTGGTCACAGCGGATGCCCTTGTACCCTATGCTGCAGTAGCAGGTCCCAGTCACATAGTCGCAGGTGGCGTTGTTCAGACACTCACACAGCTGCTGACAGCCGTAGCCGAACGTACCAGGGGGACACTCTGAGAGGGGAGAAATCACACACACCGTAAAGTCGTGACAGAGTGGGAGAATGGGTAGAGCAGTAAGATACAGGAGCAGACAGAATAAGACTGATTGGTCAATTCATTTCCTGATGCATTCAGTTGCAATGGGGACCAGCACCAAAGAGATTAAGGAGATATGTATAGATGTTCCACTCACTCTGTTCACAGCTGGTCCCAATGAAGCCGGTGAGACAGGAACACTGTCCTGTCATGTGATCACAGTTTCCCCCATTCTGACAACGACACACCTCTGTACAGTCTCTACCATAGAACCCTAATGGACAACCTGGTGGGGTGGGGGGGGGGTTAGGGAGGCAGAGTGAGGGAAGGGCGATGGGTGAGGGAGAGCGAGAGAGAGTGAGGGAAGGGGTGAGGGAGAAAGAGAGAGTGAGGGGAGGGGTGAGGGAGAGAGAGTGAGGGTAGGGGTGAGGGAGAGAGAGTGAAGGTATTGTGAGGGAGAGAGAGAGGCAGAGAGAGGGGGGAGTGAGTGAGAGACAGAGAGGGGAGGGGTGAGGTGAGGGAGTAAGAAAGAGCGAGAGAAGGAGGGGAGTGAGGTGAGGGAGAGGCAAAGAGAGGGGGGAGTGAGTGATGGTGAGGTAGAGATGGCAGAGAGAGGGGGAGTGAGAGAGAGTGAGCGAGAGAGGGGGGGTTAGTGAAGGGAGAGGTAAGGGAGAACGAGAGAGAGGGAGGGAGTGAGTGATGGGAGAGGTGAAGAGAGAGAGAGAGGAGGCGGAGTGAGTGAGGGGTGAGGGAGAGAGAGAATATTTAGACAGAGAGATAGTCAGCATCAGAGAGATAGTCAGCATCAGAGAGATAGTCAGCATCAGAGAGCCAGTGAGATAGTCAGACAGAGAGATAGTCAGCATCAGAGAGATAGTGAGATAGTCAGACAGAGAGATAGTCAGCGTCAGAGAGATAGTCAGCATCTGAGAGCCAGTGAGATAGTCAGACAGAGAGATAGTCAGCGTCAGAGAGATAGTCAGCATCTGAGAGCCAGTGAGATAGTCAGACAGAGAGATAGTCAGCATCAGAGAGATAGTCCGACAGAGAGATAGTCAGCATCAGAGAGCCAGTGAGATAGTCAGACAGAGAGATAGTCAGCATCAGAGAGATAGTGAGATAGTCAGACAGAGAGATAGTCAGCATCAGAGAGATAGTGAGATAGTCAGACAGAGAGATAGTCAGCATCAGAGAGCCAGTGAGATAGTCAGACAGAGAGATAGTCAGCATCAGAGAGATAGTGAGATAGTCAGACAGAGAGATAGTCAGCATCAGAGAGCCAGTGAGATAGTCAGACAGAGAGATAGTCAGACAGAGAGATAGTCAGCGTCAGTGAGATAGTCAGACAGAGAGATAGTCAGCATCAGTGAGATAGTCAGACAGAGAGATAGTCAGCATCAGTGAGAGAGATAGTCAGACAGAGAGATAGTCAGCATCAGAGAGATAGTCAGCATCAGAGAGATAGTCAGCATCAGAGAGATAGTCAGCATCAGAGAGATAGTCAGCATCAGAGAGCCAGTGAGATAGTCAGACAGAGAGATAGTCAGCGTCAGAGAGATAGTCAGCATCTGAGAGCCAGTGAGATAGTCAGAGAGAGAGATAGTCAGCGTCAGAGAGATAGTCAGCATCAGAGAGATAGTTAGCATCAAAGAGATAGTCAACATCAGATAAATATTCAGCATCGCCTCTCTAACAATCAATGTTACGTCTGAGTAGCTGTTCTAAGTACTGTATCTAAGAAGGTGAATTTAAGTGGGACCATCCTGTTACTCTCTTCAAGCCATCGTCTACTACACTGGTCTCATCACCTCACTGGGGATCATCGACACGGCTGATTAGCTGTCTTCAGAGGACCACTCTTCCAGAACAAGTGAAAGGAAACACCACCCTGTTGGTTTTCGCCCAGACTACATGACCAGTCATTGAAGCCACGGACAACTAAGAAGGACATTGTGACCTCTGGTGGACAATCAGAGACTTACACTCCAAGTTCGAGAGAAGGCCCAACCGAACCCCTTTCCGAGAAGGCTTAGGTCCAACAGAGATAAAACGAAGAAGGAAGACATTCAGACACGTAAATACATTCATGACTTCAAACGGGCGGCGGTTAGGGTGCAAAGTATTATGATTATCGTGAGCGTAGTTTCCAAATGTATAAGTGTTGTGTCTCTCTTTCGCTCTCTCTCTCTACTCCTCCCTCTTCTGGTAAACAAGCAGTCATGTTGCTGTTAGTCCGCTAGGGACCTGTTTCCATCGTATTAAGTTTCTAATCAATAACCTATATTGTGTGTGTGTATCCTGTGTTATCATTTAGTTAGTTAGTAAATAAATAATTAAATCAATGTGTGGTACGGAATGATCAGTAAAGCTGGGGTTTGTGCAGATGCAAGGAATATGCGACATTCAGAATGACATGATACGAGGTAATGATTAATAAGTGGCTGTTGACGTAATAGATATCTATATATCTTCTGGAGTTTAATTCGGGAGATGGTAACTCGTTAAACAACTTATTCCGTGGTACCCCAAATCCTAATGAGTTCATTGTTACATGATTAATTTCATCGGGTAACAATTAAACATAGTTAGATAATTAGAGAAATATCAGTCATCAGATTAATGTTAGGTCACGTCACGACAGTAAGCATCAGAGAGATCGTCAGCATCAGAGAGATCGTCAGCATCAGAGAGATCGTCAGCATCAGAGAGATCGTCAGCATCAGAGAGATCGTCAGACAGAGTCAGAAAGAGAGATAGCCAGACAGAGATAGTCAGCATCAGATAGTAAGACAGAAAGATATTCAGCATCATATAAATAGTCAGATAGACATAGAGATAGTCAGCATCTGAGAAACAGAGAGATAGTCAGACAGAGAGATAGTCAGACAGAGATAGTCAGACAGAGAGATAGTCAGCATCAGAGAGAAAGATATAGTCAGAGAGAGATAGTCAGCATCAGAGAGTCAGAGAGATAGTCAGCATCAGAGAGATAGTCAGCATCAGAGAGACAGTCAGACAGAGATAGTCAGACAGAGAGATAGTCAGCATCTGAGAAACAGAGAGATAGTCAGACAGAGAGATAGTCAGACAGAGATAGTCAGACAGAGAGATAGTCAACATCAGAGAGATAGTCAGATAGAGAATAGTCCAACAGAGAATAGTCAGACAGAGAGATAGTCAGCATCAGAGAGACAGAGAGATAGTCAGACAGAGAGATAGTCAGACAGAGATAGTCAGACAGAGAGATAGTCAGCATCAGAGAGACAGAGAGATAGTCAGCATCAGAGAGATAGTCAGCATCAGAGAGACAGTCAGACAGAGATAGTCAGACAGATAGATAGTCAGCATCAGAGAGAGAGATAGTCAAACAGAGAGATAGTCAGTGTCAGAGAGACAGTCAGACAAAGATAGTCAGACAGATAGATAGTCAGCATCAGAGAGAGAGATAGTCAGACAGAGATAGTCAGCTTCAGAAAGATAGTCAGCATCAGAGAGATAGTCAGCATCAGAGAGATAGTCAGCATCAGAGAGACAGTCAGCATCAGAGATAGTCAGCATCAGAGAGATAGTCTGACAGAGAGAGAGTCCGACAGAGAGAGATAGTTCGACAGAGAGAGATAGTCAGACAGAGAGATAGTCAGCATCAGTGTCACTGATCCAACAAATCATAATGCAGGAAAAGAGCTCACTCATCATAATGCATCATACAACACTGGGTGAGATTCAACAGAGACATCAACATTGCTTCACTACATGTACCACATACACACCAAACCACAGAGAACACCACCAAACCACAAAGAACTCCACCAAACCACAGAGAACACCACAAGTCACAAGCCATTGCAGCCCAGTAAGGACTGAAATACACTGCTCAAAAAAATAAAGGGAACACTAAAATAACACATCCTAGATCTGAATGAATGAAATAATCTTATTAAAAACTTTTTTCTTTACATAGTTGAATGTGCTGACAACAAAATCACACAAAAATTATCAATGGAAATCAAATTTATCAACCCATGGAGGTCTGGATTTGGAGTCACCCTCAAAATTAAAGTGGAAAACCACACTACAGGCTGATCCAACTTTGATGTAATGTCCTTAAAACAAGTCAAGATGATGCTCAGTAGTGTGTGTGGCCTCCACGTGCCTGTATGACCTCCCTACAACGCCTGGGCATGCTCCTGATGAGGTGGCGGATGGTCTCCTGAGGGATCTCCTCCCAGACCTGGACTAAAGCATCCGCCAACTCCTGGACAGTCTGTGGTGCAACGTGGCGTTGGTGGATGGAGCGAGACATGATGTCCCAGATGTGCTCAATTGGATTCAGGTCAATACCTTCCTCTTGCAGGAACTGCTGACACACTCCAGCCACATGAGGTCTAGCATTGTCTTGCATTAGGAGGAACCCAGGGCCAACCGCACCAGCATATGGTCTCACAATGGGTCTGAGGATCTCATCTCGGTACCTAATGGCAGTCAGGCTACCTCTGGCGAGCACATGGAGGGCTGTGCGGCCCCCAAAAGAAATGCCACCCCACACCATGACTGACCCACCGCCAAACCGGTCATGCTGGAGGATGTTGCAGGCAGCAGAACGTTCTCCACGGCGTCTCCAGACTCTGTCACGTCTGTCACATGTGCTCAGTGTGAACCTGCTTTCATCTGTGAAGAGCACAGGGCGCCAGTGGCGAATTTGCCAATCTTGGTGTTCTCTGGCAAATGCCAAACGTCCTGCACGGTGTTGGGCTGTAAGCACAACCCCCACCTGTGGACGTCGGGCCCTCATACCACCCTCATGGAGTCTGTTTCTGACCGTTTGAGCAGACACATGCACATTTGTGGCCTGCTGGATGTCATTTTGCAGGGCTCTGGCAGTGCTCCTCCTGCTCCTCCTTGCACAAAGGCGGAGGTAGCAGTCCTGCTGCTGGGTTGTTGCCCTCCTACGGCCTCCTCCACATCTCCTGATGTACTGGCCTGTCTCCTGGTAGCGCCTCCATGCTCTGGACACTACGCTGACAGACACAGCAAACCTTCTCGCCACAGCTCGCATTGATGTGCCATCCTGGATGAGCTGCACTACCTGAGCCACTTGTGTGGGTTGTAGACTCCGTCTCATGCTACCACTAGAGTGAAAGCACCGCCAGCATTCAAAAGTGACCAAAACATCAGCCAGGAAGCATAGGAACTGAGAAGTGGTCTGTGGTCACCACCTGCAAAACCAGTCCTTTATTGGGGGTGTCTTGCTAATTGCCTATAATTTCCACCTGTTGTCTATTCCATTTGCACAACAGCATGTGACATGTATTGTCAATCAGTGTTGCTTCCTAAGTGGACAGTTTGATTTCACAGAAGTGTGATTGACTTGTAGTTACATTGTGTTGTTTAAGTGTTCCCTTAATTTTTTTTGAGCAGTGTACAATGGAGATGGAGCCATGGTAGGCTGTGGTATCAACATCAGAGACAATGTTGATAGTCCATCTAATTCTCCTCAATTCTCTAATTCCCTTTATAATATGTGACTGATGAGGATCCTACAATGGCCTTAGTTTATTCAATGGTGCAATTATATTATATAATTTAATATGATATAATATACCATGTGTGTATTGTATCCCACTAGACTATTAAACAGTACAGTTGTGGTCAAAAGTTTTGAGAATGACACAAGTATTGGTCTTCACAAAGTTTGCTGCTTCAGTGTTTTTAGATATTTTTGTCAGATATTACTATGGTATACTGAAGTATAATTAGAAGCATTCCATAAGTGTCAAAGGCTTTTATTGACAATTACATTACGTTTATGCAAAGAGTCAATATTTGCAGTGTTGACCCTTCTTTTTTCAAGACCTCTGCAATCCGCCCTGGCATGCTGTCAATTAACTTCTGGGCCACATCCTGACTGATGGGAGCCCATTCTTGAATAATCAATGCTTGGAGTTTGTCAGAAGTTGTGGGTTTTTGTTTGTCCACCCGCCTCTTGAGGATTGACCACAAGTTCTCAATGGGATTAAGGTCTGGGGAGTTTCCTGGCCATGGACCCAAAATGTCGATGTTTTGTTCCCCGAGCCACTTAGTTATCACTTTTGCCTTATGGCAAGGTGCTCGTCACCAAACTGTTCTTGGATGGTTGGGAGAAGTTGCTCTCTGAGGATGTGTTGGTACCATTCTTTATTCATGGCTGTGTTCTTAGGCACAATTGTGAGTGAGCCCACTCCCTTGGCTGAGAAGCAACCCCACACATGAATGGTCTCAGGATGCTTTACTGTTGGCATGACACAGGACTGATGGTAGCGCTCACCTTGTCTTCTCCGGACAAGCTTTTTTCCGGATGCCCCAAACAATCGGAAAGGGGATTCATCAGAGAAAATTACTTTACCCCAGTCCTCAGCAGTCCAATCCCTGTACCTTTTGCAGAATATCAGTCTGTCCCTGATGTTTTTCCTGGAGAGAAGTGGCGTCCTCGCTGCCCTTCTTGACACCAGGCCATCCTCCAAAAGTCTTTGCCTCAATGTGTGTGCAGATGCACTCACACCTGCCTTTAGGAGACGGTCCTGGCGCTTGCTGGACTTTCTTGGGCGCCCTGAAGCCTTCTTCACAACAATCGAACCTCTCTCCTTGAAGTTATTGATGATCCAATAAATGGTTGATTTAGGTGCAATCTTACTAGCAGCAATATCCTTGTCTGTGAAGCCCTTTTTGTTTCCTTGCTGGTAACCATGGTTAACAGAGGAAGAACAATGATTTAAAAAACCACCCTCCTTTTAAAGCTTTCAGTCTGTTATTCTAACTCAATCAGCATGACAGAGTGATCTCCAGCCTTGTCCTCGTCAACACTCTCACCTGTGTTAACGACAGAATCACTGACATGATTGGTGATGATGATGGAAATGTTTTTGGGGGATTAAGTTCATTTTCATGGCAAAGAGGGACTTTGCAATTAATTGCAATTAATCTGATCACTCTTCATAACATTCTATAGTATTAGCAAATTGCCATCATAAAAACTGAGGCAGCAGACTTTGTGAAAATTAATATTTGTGTCATTCTCAAAACCTTTGACCACTGTCTGTCTGCCAGTAGATGTCACTGTGTTTCTCTCTGCTGCAGTACCATTGGACTGCCAGTAGATGTCACTGTGTTTCTCTCTGCTGCAGTACCATTGGACTGCCAGTAGATGTCACTGTGTCTCTCTCTGCTGCAGTACCATTGGACTGCCAGTAGATGTCACTGTGTCTCTCTCTGCTGCAGAACCATTGGACTGCCAGTAGATGTCCCTGTGTCTCTCTCTGCTGCAGAACCATTGGACTGCCAGTAGATGTCCCTGTGTGTGAGCTGATGGCTGTGCTGTGCGCTATGAGCCCTACACCAGGACTACGCCTGCACTCACAAACTGACACACAGACGCACAGACGCATCACACACACACAGAGACAGACAGACATACACACTAGGAAACTGATGCTGTGTGCATTGGAGTCCCTTCCAGCCTGAGCTACATCTATACTCCCCATTACTAGCAGTGTACTGGGCTCCGTTGTGTACTGGGCTCCGTTGTGTACTGGGCTCCGTTGTGTACTGGGCTCCGTTGGCTCCGTTGTGTACTGGGCTCCGTTGTGTACTGGGCTCCGTTGTGTACTGGGCTCCGTTGTGTACTGGGCTCCGTTGGCTCCGTTGTGTACTGGGCTCCGTTGTGTACTGGGCTCCGTTGTGTACTGGGCTCCGTTGTGTACTGGGCTCCGTTGGCTCCGCTGTGTACTGGGCTCCGTTGTGTACTGGGCTCCGTTGTGTACTGGGCTCCGTTGTGTACTGGGCTCCGTTGGCTCCGTTGTGTACTGGGCTCCGTTGTGTACTGGGCTCCGTTGGCTCCGTTGTGTACTGGGCTCCGTTGGCTCCGTTGTGTACTGGGCTCCGTTGGCTCCGTTGTGTACTGGGCTCCGGTTGTGTACTGGGCTCCGTTGTGTACTGGGCTCTGTTGCTCCGTTGTGTACTGGGCTCGGTTGGCTCCGTTGTGTACTGGGTCTGTTGGGCTCCGTTGGTGTACCTGGGCTCCGTTGGCTCCGTTGTGTACTGGCTCCTGTTGGCTCCGTTGTGGAATGGGCACGGTTGGCCTCCCGTTGGTGTACTGGCTCCGTTGGCCCGTTGTGTACTGGGCTTCTGTTGGCTCCGTTGTGTAAGGGGCTCCGTTGGCTCCGTTTGTGTAACATGGGGCTCCGTTGGCCTCCGTTGTGTACTGGGCCTCCGTTGGCTCCGTTGGTGTACTGGGCTTCCGTTGTGTACTGGGCTCCCGTTGGCTCCCGTTGTGTATCTGGGCTTCCGTTGGCTTCCGTTGTGTACTGGGCCAGTTGGCTCCGTTTGTAGTACTGGGCTCCGTTGGCTCCGTTGTGTAACTGGTGCTCCGTTTGTGTACTGGCTCCGTTTGGCTCCGTTGTGTACTTGGCTCCCGTTGGCTCCGTTGTGTACTGGGCTCCGTTGGCTCCGTTTGTGTACTGGGCTCCGTTGTGTACTGGGACTGGGCTCCGTTGTGGTACTGGGCCCCGTTGGCCTCCGTTGTGTACTGGGCTCCGTTGTGTAACGTGGGCTCCGTTGTGGGGTACTGGGCTCCGTTTGTGTCTGGCTCTGTTGGCCTCCGTTGTGTACTGGCTCCTTGTGTATGGGGCGCCGTTGGCTCCGTTGTGTCTGGGCTCCGTGGCTCCGTTGTGTCCTGGGCTCCGTTGGCTCCGTTGTGTCTGGGCTCCGTGGCTCCGTTGTGACTGGGCTCCGTGTGTACTGGGCTTCCGTTGGCTCCGTTGTGTACTGGGCTCCGTTGTGGTACTGGGCTCCGTTGTGTACTGGCTCCTTTGTGTAACTGGCTCCGTTGTGTACTGGTGCTCCGTTGGCTCCGTTGTTGTACTGGGCTCCGTTGTGTACTGGTCTCCGTTTGTACTGGGCCCGTTGTGTACTGGGCTCCGTTGGCTCCGTGTGTACTTTGGCTTTCCGTTTGTGTCACTGTGCTCCGTTGGCCTCCGTTGTGTACTGGGCCCGTTTGTGACTGGGCTCCGTTGGCTCCGTTGTGTACTGGGCTCCGTTGGCTCCGTTGTGTACTGGGCTCCGTTGGCTCCGTTGTGTACTGGGCTCCGTTGTGTACTGGGCTCCGTTGGCTCCGTTGTGACAGTTACAGCTCTTCAAACAGTCATCACCCCAAGACCCCGCCAGACACACACAGTTACACACAGCCAGGCAGAGACACAGTCAACAGGAGACACACACAGTTACATACAGCCAGGCAGAGACACAGTCAACAGGAGACACACACAGTTACATACAGCCAGGCAGAGACACAGTCAACAGGAGACACACACAGTTACATACAGCCAGGCAGAGACACAGTCAACAGGAGACACACACAGTTACATACAGCCGGCAGAGACACAGTCCAACAGGAGACACACACAGTTACACACAGCCAGGCAGACACAGTTCAACAGGAGACCACACACAGTTACATACAGCCAGGCAGAGACACAGTCAACAGGAGACACACACAGTTACACACAGCCAGGCAGAGACACAGTCAACAGGAGACACACACAGTTACATACAGCCAGGCAGAGACACAGTCAACAGGAGACACACACAGTTACATACAGCCAGGCAGAGACACAGTCAACAGGAGACACACACATGCGTGCACATGCAAACACACACACACACACACACACACAATTTTCTCCCACACAAGCTTCAAACACATACACATCCCTCTGCAGTCAGAGGATTTCATGACTTTAACCCATACCGGACACCCTACCGGACACCCTACCGGACACCCTACCGGACACCCTAAGCGTCTAAAGTAAAGTGGGGGTAAACAGACTATGACTGACTACTTACTATGGTAGATAGAGTATATTATTTTTCATGGCATGATGGTTTAAACCATCTGATTCTAGTCTTTGTCCTTGAGTGATATATAACTCCTGTGTGTTTCACAGTAATAATAATGATAATAAGTTAGTTAAGAGCTTTAAGACCACTTTGCATATTTTTATATTTTCATGAGAAGACGAGGTACATATGTAGGAGAGATGATGGATGGAGGCTGAGAGAAGAGGGGAGAGAGAGGAAGACAGAAAGAGAGTAGAGAGAGAGAGAGATCAAGCTTGAGAAAGAGAAAGAGAAAGAGAAAGAGAGAGAGAGAGAGAGAGAGAGAGAGAGAGAGAGAGAGAGAGATGGACCCATTGGTTGCCCTCTAGGTTACAGAGAGCTGGTAGTCCCATCCACCAAACTACCAGGTGTGAAACAGGGAAGGGACTCTGGGGGTATGCTAATTTGGTATAGAGCAGACCTAACTCACTCCATTAAATTAATCAAAACAGGAACATTTTACATTTGGCTAGAAATTAAAAAGGTAAATCTCAACAGAGAAAATTTCCTCCTGTGTGCTACCTATATCCCTCCAATAGAATCCCCATACTTTAATGAAGACAGCTTCTCCATCCAAGAGGGGGAGATCAACCATTTCCAGGCCCAGGGACATGTACTAGTCTGTGGCGACCTAAATGCCAGAACTGGACAAGAACCTGACACCCTCAGCACACAGGGGGACAAACACCTACCTGGAGGTGACAGCATTCCCTCCCAAATATGCCCCCCAAGACACAACTACGACAACATAACCAACAAAAACGGGTCACAACTCCTGCAGCTCTGTCTCACGCTGGGTCTGTACATAGTCAATGGTAGGCTTCGAGGAGACTCCTATGGTAGGTACACCTACAACTCATCCCTTGGCAGTAATACTGTAGACTACTTTATCACTGACATCAACCCAGAGTCTCTCAGAGCGTTCACAGTCAGCCAAATAACACCCCTATCAGACCACAGCCAAATCACAATCTACTTGAACAGAGCAATACTCAACCGTGAGGTATCAGAACCGAACAAACTGCATGCTCTAAGAAATACTATAAATGGAAGGAGGGTAGTGTGGAAACCTACCAAAAAACTATTGGGCAACAACAAATCCAATCCCTCCTAGACAACTTCCTGGACTAAATGTTTTCCTGCAATAGTGAAGGTGTAAACTTAGCAGTAGGATGCCTGAACAGTATATTGGACCTCTCAGCTAAAATATCACATTAAAACAATTCTACCAAAAAACCTAAGAAAACTAACAACAATGAGAAATGGTTTGATGAGAATGTAAAAACCTAAAGAAAGAAATTGAGAAACCTATCCAACCAAAAACACAGAGTCCCAGAAAACCTGAGCCTACGCCTTCACTATGGTGAATCACTAAAACAATACAGAAATACACTATGGAAAAAGAAGGAACAGCATGTCAGAAATCAGCTCAATGTAATTGAAGAATCCATAGAATCTAACCACTTCTGGGAAAATTGGAACACACTAAACAAAGAACAACACGAAGAGTTCTCTATCCAAAACTGAGATGTATGGATAAACCACTTCTCCAATCTTTTGGCTCTATGACAAAGAACAAACAGCAAAAACATATATATCATCAAATACAAATCTTAGAATCAACTATTAAAAACTACCAATTACAGGATAAAATACAAACCCTCCAACCCAAAAAGGCCTGTGGTGTTGATGGTATCCTCAATGAAATGATAAAACATACAGATCACAAATTCAAATAGGCTATACTTAAACTCTTTAACATCATCCTCAGCTCTGGCATCTTCCCCAATATTTTGAACTAAGGTCTGATCACCTCAATCCACAAAAGTGGAGACAAATCTGACCCCAATAATTACAATGGAATCAGTCAACTCTGACAAATCCTCTGCATTATCATCAACAGCTGACTCCAACATTTCCTCAGTGAAAACAATGTCCTGAGCAAATGGCAAATTGGCTTCTTACCAAAATACCATACGACAGACCACGTACACACCCTGCACACCCTTATTGACAAACAAACCAAAACAAAGGCAAAGTCTTCTCATGCTTTGTTGATGATAAAAATAAAAAATAAACGATTTTGACTCAATAAATTGATGGAAAACAGTTTTGGGGGTGGGGGGAAACATACGATATTATAAAATAAATGTACATAAACAACAAGTATGCAGTTCAAATTGGCAATAAACACACACGTTTCTTTCCACAGGGCAGTGGGGTGAGACAGGGATGCAGCTTGAGCCCGACTCTCTTCAATATATACAGCTGTGGAAAAAATTAAGAGGCCACTGCACATTTTTCTTAAATCTGCATCTCTACATGTTTGACGGCCATTCCATTCCAGTGTCTGTTGAATTCCAACACAGGCACACCTCATTCTACTGAATTAGGTACTGATTAGGTGATTACCTGGACCAAATCTTATTTAACGAGGAAAAGTATAAAAACCACTGCTGTGGTCATCACTATCCTCTTGCAATAGGACCAGCTGGATGGTAAAAACAGTGCTAATAGTACCTCAAAAGTAATATGAATCAAAAAAATAACTATTGACCATGCCAAAAGGAAAGTTTTGAGTGAGGAAAAGAAGGGTTCAAATCTGGCTTTACTGGCAGAGGGATACAGTGAGCGTCAGGTTGCTTCCATCCTTAAAATTGCAAGGTCAAACAACCGTAGGGATGACATCAAGTGACCTACAAAAAGAATGGCAAACCGGCAGCTGGGGTGAAGTGCACGGCGAGGACGGTTCGAAACAGGCTCCTAGGGACAGGGCTGAAGTCGTGCAAAGCTAGAAAAAAAGCCCTTCATCAATTAGAAGCGAAGAAGAGCAAGGCTGAGGTTTGCAAAAGACCGTAAGGATTGGACCGTAGAGGACTGGAGTAAGGTCATTTTCTCTGATGAGTCCAATTTTCAGCTTTGCCCAACACCTGGTTGTCTAATGGTTAGACGGAGACCTGGAGAGGCCTACAAGCCACAGTGTCTCGCACCCACTGTGAAATTTGGTGGAGGATCGGTGATGATCTGAGGGTGCTTCAGCAAGGCTGGAATCAGGCAGATTTGTCTTTGAGAAGGACGCATGAATCAAGCCACGTACAAGGTTGTCCTGGAAGAAAACGTGCTTCCTTTTGCTCTGACGTTGTTCCCCAACTCTGAGGATTGGTTTTTCCAGCAGGACAATGCGCCATGCCACACAGCCAGGTCAATCAAGGTGTGGATGGAGGACCACCAGATCAAGACCCTGTCATGGCCAGCCCAATCTTCAGACCTGAACCCCATTGAAAACTTCTGGAATGTGATCAAGAGGAAGATGGATGGTCACAAGCTATCAAACAAAGCCGAGCTGCTTGAGTTTTTGCGCCAGGAGTGGCATAAAGTCACCCAACATCAATGTGAAAGACTGGTGGAGAGCATGCCAAGACGCATGAAAGCAGTGATTGAAAATCAGGGTTATTCCACCAAATATTGATTTCTGAACTCTTCCTAAGTTAAAACATTAGTATTGTGTTGTTTAAAAATGAACATGAACTTATTTTCTTTGCATTATTCGAGGTCTGACAACACTGCATCTTTTTTTGTTATTTTGACCAGTTGTCATTTTCTGCAAATAAATGCTCTAAATGACAATATTTTATTTGGAATTTGGGAGAAATGTTGTCGGTAGTTTATAGAATAAAACAAAAATGTTATTTTTACCCAAACACATACCTATAAATAGTAAAACCAGAGAAACTGATCATTTTGCAGTGGTCTCTTACTTTTTTCCAGAGCTGTATATCAATGAATTGGCGAGGGCATTAGAACAGTCTGCAGCACCACGCCTCACCCTACTAGAATCTGAAGTCAAATGTCTACTGTTTGCTGATGATCTGGTGCGTCTGTCCCCAACCAAGGAGGGCCTACAGCAGCACCTAGATCTTCTGCACAGATTCTGTCAGACCTGGGCCCTGAAAGTTAATCTCAGTAGGACAAAAATAATGGTGTTCCAAAAAAGGTCAAATAAAATAACAGTTAAATTCTACAACCATTTAAAAGGAAGCGATGCCCAAACCTTCCATAACAAAGCAATCACCTACAGAGAGATGAACCTGGAGAAGAGTCCCCTCAGCCAGCTGGTTCTGGCGCTCTGTTCACAAACACAAACAGACCCCACAGAACCCCAGGACAGCAACACATTTAGACCCAACCAAATTATGAGAAAACCAAAAGATAATTACTCAAATCAAATCAATGTTTTTTTGTCACATACACGTGT